ACGACTTTCGGCAGAGCGTTGACTTTTACTCTTTTCACATGAGGACTGGGTTCGAGTCACATTGAGAAGTTCTCACTGAGATTCGAACCTGCGACCTTAGAGGTGAAAGGCAAGTGCGCTAACCACTTGGCCACCGAAGCCCCATTTTGTTGCGTTTTACATTATCTTTTGTTTATAAAGCTTTATACAGTAAATTTGCTTGTTAAAGTACAATATATTTGAAAATATGGAGAGATTTTTTTTAGGATGGTGCTGGACTTCTCTAGGGGGATAACTAGACACCACCACATGGGGTACGCACCTCCGCAGAAGATCTGCTTCTGCTATCACTCATATAATAAAGTTTAATTTTGAAGAAATAAATCAAATTACTGTATATATTGTGTTTTGACAGTGTGATCTGGTGAGCGAAGGCTTACACAGTAACACGACACAGATGAATGAGTTCTGTGCTGAGAAAGGTTTCGCCGGCTGGTTCGAAACCTCGACCAAGGAGAATATTGGAATTAACGAAGCTGCTACATTCTTAGTTAACAAGGTACGTTTTTGTTACAGAGCTGCCAAGTTCCTGGTGATTGAATCTACACATGCAAAAATCTCACATCTTGTAGCAAGTCTGCCAACAAAGCCATCAACAAGTTGTGTTCGCACTGCTTGTCCCAAGTTGTCAACAAGTTTGGAACAAGTTGTAAACAACTTGTAACAACCTTGTTGATATTATCGGACTTGTTGCAAGTTGTTCCAACAAGTCCGACACATGTTATAACAATATTGATTATTGTATAACTAGGCATGCGAGTTATTAAAAGCCAATTTTGTCTATCGCATCCCCCAATACATTCGATTGAACTCCTGGCAAAATCCCACCCGGTAGTACTATTGGTATTTATTTTGGTGTTTTTTCTTTATAGATTTTGGAAACAGAACAATCTGTATCCAGTAGTGCAGACGACCAAAAGTCTCCTGATGAGGATACGTCTTGTTGCGCTTTTCCAAAAGCAAAGTTACTCAATATTGATGTAGACAAATAACAAAAATTTTATGAGGAATGCCGTATTTCCTCTTTTTACCCCGCACCTCATTCCATCCACACCTCACCCCACCATCACGCTCACCCCCTATAATAAGCCCCCATCTAAGCAGAGGAAATACGGTAACATATATGAAATACGATTGGGGGGGTTAAAGCATTTTGAATTTAAAATTGATCATTGGTATTTTTAGAAGTAAATATATAATATACAACAAGGTCGAAATTTACTCTATTCCGTATATAGTAAAATGTCTGACTGAACAACTTAAACTTCCTTATCTTGGCATTCTGTTTGTATCAGTATAGTAGAAAGAAATGTGATTGGAATCAGTCTGTAGTATCAATACGTTATTCATTTATAAGTCAGTCTTGATAAGGGTCTTGTAGATGGTCTTGTATAGATCTTGTTCAAGGGTATTGTTTATAGACTTGCTCCAAGTCTCTCTTTCATTGTCATATAGTATCGATCCACTATAGTGTACATTACATGACGTAGTACCGAGAGGCGAAGCGAGAAAGAGAGACTTGTCAACTTCGGAAAATCTCGGTTCAAAACTGAACCGAAAATGCAAGACTTGCTTTAATTGTTTTCTGTCAGTGTTTATATGTATTGATCTAGCACAGTGTAAATAACATGAGTTCCATTATAGTAAATAATACAGAAAGAAATTGAAGGAAAACAATTAAAGCAAGTCTTGCATTTTCGGTTCAGTTTTGAACCGAGATTTTCCGAAGTTGACAAGTCTCTCTTTCTCGCTCCGCCCCTCCGTGCTACGTCATGTAATGTACACTATAGTGGATCGAAATGACAGTGAAAGAGAGACTTGGAGCAAATGGAGCGAACCTGCCGCCCTATACGATTCCGGTGCAGCGCTCTAACCAACTGAGCTACAGAGGCCAGTTGTCGAGCTCTAACCACAAGTTTATGTATATATGTAGGGTACTGCCATATATAGGTTATGGGTAAATATCAACTGAAGATTTTGTTGGCATCTCACGAAATGTTGTAAAATACGGAAAATACAGCCTTGCGAAGTTTGCATATTTTGTATATGTTTGTATTACGTGCGGAAATTGTTACCATTTTTGAGCCGAAAATCGGGTAACAATTTCCGCACGTAATACAAACATATACAAAATTTGCAAACTTTGCAAGGCTATATTTTCCAAGCTTTATATCATTTCGCAACCAAATTTTGCAATTTTACTAATTTCATTATGTTCTTTTT